CATATGATTTTATGATTATTTGCATATTTGTGTAACAAAACTTTACACCAATGATTTATAAATTACGTTATGATTATTTGAATTTAAGTATTTTCCATTTTACATATACACTTTCATAAATTAAAAGGAATGAAGTTATTATAGTTAATATATGCAAATCGTTATCAAATCGTATATTTTCCTTTTCTTCCATTACATGTGTGCGATATATATAAATATATAAACTATGTTACATGCGTTATATGCGTTATATGCGTCTCTAATTATTTTTCCCTAGCAAATTTCAATTGAACCTAAAGCCGCCACGTCAGTTTAATTGATATGCTAATTGATTGACAACTAAGCAAGGTTACTTTTTAATTAATACAAACTTGAGGTTACATCTTTTCAAATGTTTCTCAATTAATATATAGGGGACTAGAGATTTTCCCGGGCTACGCCCGGGTTTTGACAAATATATTTGTTTTTTGTTAAATATAATCCACATATATCATAGCTATGATATATAAAATATAAATGATACTAAACTCAAAATTTGTAATCTTTTTACTATCCAAAAATATATTTGGAATGCTGAGCAATCATGTGAGATGAATAGAGATAAAGCCGTGTCTACAGAATAAATTTTGAAGCATTAATATTTTTTACAAAAAGTTATAGAGCATACATTTATACATTTATTTTATACATACATAGACAGACTTTGTTTGATTGCTTATTATCTAGATTACATAGATCAATTAAATCACAATCAATGTTCTTTTTGCATGTTTTCTTTGATTACAACTTGGATATTTCTATAATCACCTTTTACCATATTAACTTTATTTTTCATCTTTATATAATTTTTATTACTTAGTTTACAAATTTAAAATAAACTATGTAAATTAAAAACTAATTTATATGTTTCAGTTTTATATTTATTAAATAAACATAAAGTGATAATAAGATACTTTTCTATATCCTCTATCAAAACTTTATTTTTTTGAAGAATTGATATACTTATATATAGTAGTTTTTCAAAAGTCAATATTGTTAAAAATATGTATTTTTTTTGCTGGCGGCATCAAAAAGCCTTCGGCTCTGAATAGAGAGCATTGTGTTAGCGTAGAAATGGTTAAGTTTCAATGTATTTTATTCACTTATCTCATATGTTGATTTGTTTCGGCTATATACAAAGCGGCGGAGAATTTGTGTTGTCTTAGCAATTATGATCCATATAGATTCTAAGAATACATGTAGAGTCTGTAACACCATACATAAGAACTTCATTGTTAGTACTTTTGTTTCTTGGCTAATCTACATTAATGTTTGTTAAAGTGATACATGTTTGTTAACAGAAACAAATAGAAAGAGGAACAACGGTGAGAGATCCATTAAAATTTGTTGAGCTAGTTAATTTACTCTTTGGCATTAGAAAGGTATGGGACTAAGACATGTGGAAAAAAAAAGAGAACATGATGAGAGAAGATAAATCTTGAAGCTGACATTTAATTACTTACAAAAGAAATCAAACACATACAAAATTGAAGTTCACAAAATGATTAGAATATTAAGGCTAAAAGCTTAGTAGCTCTACTCCACAAAGAGAACGCCACAACTTATCCATGACGCAAAGCTCGTGGTACCGCAGCTAATCTAAACTCATCATCAGCATGTTAACCACATCGCTAAACCTCTCATTAGGCATATTAAAACAGCTAACTTATAAGAATTTTAAGTTCGTAGAAGAGAATGGTCGAATCGCTTAACCTGAACTGGACCAGGTAGAGCTTCAATTAACCCTCTCCTAGGATCATAGTAACAGCAATTAACACCTAGGATCATATATACCATCTCCTAGGATCATAGTAATAACAATTAACACCTGAAGAAAAGAAAGAAACCATTATATTACATCAAACGATGCATATAAAAAAGTGAGCGATTGAAGTATTCTCTAATGTGTAGCTGCAATTGTTGTAAAGAACAAAGAGAAAACAGTATCAGTGATTTATATTACTAACCAATCACTGCAGTATATAATAAACGGAAACATTAACCTGAAGTAGTTGTGTCCGCCATCTTCACCAAATGCTTACTTAATACTGTGTATTGACAAAAGACATTGAACTATTATGATTTATTTATGTTATACTTCTCATGTATACCGTAGAAACCAAGCGATTAAGTAATCTTCAGTTACTGAACACGTAGGATAAGGCTGAAGATACCAACGTTTTAAACAAAATTGTAGACCTTTGAATAGGGGTTGAATGAACTTCTTTCGTGTTACAGATGCTATGCGTTTGGTTGAGCGAAAGAGCTGAACCAACCTGAAAAACCATACAATGAGGGTCTTTCCGTTGATCAACCTTTTACAGTTTAATGTAAAGAAAACATTTCACAGTTAGTAAGTAGAAACACACTGGAAATACATCTCAAAGTACAATAGGCAAGGGCTTTCATCTCATTTCTAAACCCATTAGTTCTTGGCATTTGATTCATTCTTTCGCATTTCAGGCACGTATGTGAGAAAATTATATTTTTTTTTTCAAATGTAGTCCTTGGAGCATATATGTAGTCAAAACTCAAAAAAGGGGATAAATACGAGCATTATAGAAAATGTGAATATTTTCAACTTTCAAATACCAATGTGACACGTGCATTTTCTAATTGGTCAAAATTGTGAACTTGATATGTAAATATTCTTTAGCCACAATCGACATTTTCGGCTAATAAGTGGAAAAATACAGTAGCTAGAATTTATTCACACCATTTTGATTCTATATCACTTTTCAAATCCTAAATAATACTATTCGATAAGGTTCTTGTATTGGCGTCTTGAAACTCTTTAATTTTGACAAATCATGTAACTTACACAATTGTATATAATTAATATATACCAGAAAAATATTAGTTAGAAAGCTCTAGACTGAGAAAACAAAACATACACAATGTGAGTGTTTTCTTTTGTTACCTATGGTTGCACCGGCATAAATTTGACAAAACTCAGACATATCTTCAAAGACAGGACAATCCTCTCCTAAGTTATCTGCAACATAAAAGTAAATTCCGTTTCAGCTAACTTTGTAATCAGTGATGAGACGCCAAAGAAACTTACATCTAGCCATGTCATTGGGAAACGAATCCTTGTTTTCGAGGTTGATGCGTTGAAGGAACTCAACATAGTCGGGAGAATGGAACTGGGCCATCTCGGTAGGATATGCCTTGTGTGGACGCTGAGACAAACAATATGAAGAAGAAGAAGTTCAAACAAAAAGGAATAAAAGAAGCATGAAAGATGAGAAATAGAGAGAGAGACAGACATAAACTTCCATCTTGCTATGGAGGCCATATGCAAGGATAAGATGATGTGGCATACAAAGCCTGTGAGGTTTCATTGGGTGATTAGGACCAAAATAAACGTTTCCCACATTCCCTGCCAAAACCAAAAAAAAACAATCCATCATCACAAATCCATATATGAAACCAAATCATACTTTCAAATAATGCAGAACATATATCAAGTCTTGTAACCGTTTCACAGCTCAAAAGAAGACGAATTTCAAACAAAAGTCTGTCAAATTAGAAACTTGACAATCTGAAACAAATAAAAAGAGTGAGTAAATTTCACAAATAACAGAGTTGTAAAATCATCTGGTTTGAGCTCTACAGGGAGAAATCCACTGATTGAGAGGAACTGAAGGATTGAAGCAGATAATTGATTAGCATAGGAATGGGGATTAATGGTGGAAACTGAAGTGAAGAGATCGAATGAGAGGAAGTCGAAAGGTAGGGAGGATCTGAGAAAGTTTGTTCAATTTACCTGTTTCATTAAGTCTCCACCATCTTTACTGCTCTTCGCAGCACCAAGTTCAACTCCAGAAACACGT